CTTGATATTTTTTTCGCCTTCCGCAGGAATTACTGGCAAAATTGCTCTCCGGACAGAAATAATTGAGAAGGTTTTAGACGTTAAACATTTTCCCTCTGTCCTGAACGTTGTCATTGCCTGACCAAGGTGAGATATCTTATCAATTAAGAAATGAAATGGCTGTTGTATACCAGTTTCCCGTTTTGATTTATCCGATCTTTTCAGCGATGTACGAGTTATCCGATATTCCGGATTGGTGAGCTTACTTATCTGCATCTGTAATAATTACCTGAAACAGCTTCCAGTTTATAGCCTGGTTCTTTAACAATTCCTGTTGCTTGGCCAGTGCTGCATCATCTTGTGAACACCGGCTACTGTCATTCATGTCGTCCCCTCATATTAGAGTTATTAAACGGTTTTTGAAACCATAATGCTAATGTAAGCTATGGGCAGCAATTTGCTTTTTTGTTAGGTCACTGGTGGAGGGTCTCGGAATAAGTGAGGAAGACTGGGGGAGAAAACTGACGGCTGAAGAACGCGAAAAAATGCATCGGTGCTCGCCGATCTCACATGTTGAAAAGGTTGGTTCGAAATTTTTTTCATTTGGACACAACCACGAATATGCCTTTTGCCGCATTCTTCACTGTTATAGTTTAATAATTTTTTTTTATCCTGTACATTAGGAAGGAAAAGCGATCCTCGGAAGAAAGGTTCACCAACAACCTTGTCATTGGACGGTTATTGTTGGCAGAGTGTTCGGTGTGCTTTTGTTACACTTGGTGCCCCTATTTGGAGGGGGGGGGGGAGGGTTTTAATTTTGCGTTTTACATTTTTTTTTAACATTTTTGGCAAAGGTAAAGATAAAGTACTATCTTCTCAGTGTTATTTGGGGCATTTATTTTTCCAGCTTCGGTGTTATTTGGGTTATCTACTTCTCCTGCGTTCCTTTCTGTAAGGAATCAGCACTGGTTTAAGCTCGATGGTTGCTTTTGGCACGTGTTTTCTCCCTCTTAGGCTTAATTTTGAAGCTATTTTATTTTACTTCGTGTTATTGGGCAGTTAGTGTTTGCTGCGTTTTTTTTTTTTCTCTCAAGTGTCTAGTTCATTGCAGGTAATCACTCCATACTTATTACTACTCGGAGAAAAAGATCTGCGAGTTGTGAATCATTATCGACCGTTTATTCGAAATTTGGTTGCGCGTAGCATCCCCAATAAGTACGTTGCTTCTGCAATTCTTGACTGGTCTTCGTCAATATTTTCAGCTGTCCACAACGAGATTTGCTTAAAAAGTTAGAAGTCAAAAATAATAAAAATATCGTGGTTGCTTCATTGCCTAGCGCTCTGCTTATGGCTGAATAGGCTTTTCGTATTTAATTATTTCCCAATTTTACTCCGTTTTTTTTTGCTGGGTTTCTTTCGTCACAAAAAGTAATACATTCAACCAAATTTTTTCAAAAAAAAAAAGCGAATAGGTTTCGAAACGATTAAATATCCCATAGTGTGGTAGGAGCGGTAACGATTTGCTGTTTCATGATATACAACAAAAGGAAGATCCTTTTTTCTGAGAAGGCGCCAAAAGTACTATATCGTTAAGTAAAATTAACGAGGTATAACATTGGCCATTCTACCGGCAACATGAAGGCAGGATTGTTTGCTAAACATCGAAATCTCAATACACTGATCAGCCCTTGTTTCACCGTCGCACCTCTTTCGTCTTTCATTCGTTAACCTCATAACTTACTGCTGATTTTGATGCTTTTTTTGTGCAGATGAAAGTTTTTTACGAAGTTTTAAGCTGAGTTAAAAAAAAATTTAAATTCTGGAGGAATTCCAATTTTTTAGCTGACTTTTTTCTTTGTTCCTGCAGGAAGAAGTAGCGGGGTGTTACGATAAATTCTAATTCAATGATAAGTAAAATTAGTGTAAAACAATGAAAAAATGAAGTGACGGAAAGAGAAAAATTGAAAAGAAAGATCTAAAAAGGCATGTGGACAGTGCTAATCTAGGCTTACAGCGATAAAATTTGGGATACTTTTTCATGATTCGTAACAATTTTTAGGATTTACATATACCCTGAAGCTTGTCACCCGCTGGATCAAGTAGATGTAGAAGCAGACTGCGCAATCAATATTGTTTGCTGGCTGAACAGATATCTTCAGTGATTCCTTTTCCAGTCATTTCTGCTTCTTTTTTAGTTTCCGAATGCTTTTACACTGTTTTCTGGCATATATTTTACATTTTTTTGTTTAGTATTTTCTTACGAACGAAATGGTGCTGGAAGAAATTAATAAGTTTTGCGCCAAGAAAGTACGAGAGTTCAAAAAATAGTTCAAAAATAGCGTAAAGCAGCTCTCTTTGATAAAAAATGATTACTTAGAAAAGCTGCGAGATCTTAGTATAATTGTGCTTTGCCCAGTGTTGCATCATCTGGTGGTTAGCTTATTGACGACCCTGGCGTTCGTTTTGTCTTCTAAAAGGGTTCCCAGCTTGAGGGTCCTTCAACAGAAACATTTATCAGAGCTTTAGCTGTTTTGTTGTATTGATTTGTGTGCGCTGAGCATCGTCACTTCAAAATTTGCCGCTTTTAGGTCACAAAATATTGTACTAACGATAACAGACTGTTAAGCATACTGATAATATTGATAAATTAGCGATGACCAAAGAAAAAGGTAAAAAAGTGAAATATGTTTTGATGCATCTATTAATTTTCGCATTTTTGTTTTCTTTTTTTACAAAAATTTTGGAAATTTCCAAACTGTGTTGCTGTATCCACTGCTGTCTTTTATATTCGGTCGAGCGATTTTGTTGTGGACCATATTTTCGCTGCAAGGTAATTTGCTTTATTAACCCTTAGTAGAATTTTCGTTTCCTGCTTTTTAAAGTAAAAAAGAAATAATTAGCCAACGCAAGGGCTGCCCGTGCGAAGATGCTTTTTTAGCATAGTTCGCAGTTTTTGTCGCTACCGGCACCAGTTTTTCCGACAAATGCTTCTAGCTAAACAAAGACTGGCCGCCAGAACTGTCAGGAAACACCCCCTTAAAATTTCAACTTTCTAACTTTCCTGGATTCTGAGTTAGCAACTTACTGGAAAAAACTTTCACGGGCCGTATGTGGGTACCGCGCATACCTGAT